TTTGGGGGCCCAGTCCCTGGACCCATTATGTACCTCTGTAATCTGTAAATACCTTTGTAACCTGTCATGATTGTGACCAGACCTACCTGGAGTTCATTACCTTTGTAAATTGTGAGTTCATTACCTTTGTAAATTGTGAGTTCATTACCTTCGTAAATTGTGAGTTCATTACCTTCGTAAATTGTGAGTTCATTACCTTCGTAAATTGTGAGTTCATTACCTTTGTAATTGTGAGTTCATTACCTCTGTAACTTGCTCAGCTATCAAAACTTTGGAGTCCAGTCCCTGGACTCATTATGTACCTCTGCAATCTTTTGACTACTGCCCACAGGATGGGTATGGGGTGCATAATAAACATATTAAACTAAACTGAAAATGGGATTGCTTTTGTACGATAATATTCCAGTCAACAGAGTACAAGAGCCTTTAGTCATTATTTTCTTGTTCTTGCTTGGAAAGCTGTTAAGCAGTCTATAAATATTTTGTCTTGCAGTTGTGATGGTAACACTTTTTAGGATGAGATGTTTAGACATGTTTACCCCAGTTCACTTAAATTTCTCCTCTGCTCTATTACTTGAACTTTTTCCCATTAGACTATTATAATTGCACATCTCTTCTGTGGTAATTCGCAGCACTTTTTTTTTATGCCTCTAACTAGGTCATAAACATTTACAAACATTCCTGGTATTGACAAATTTAGCAAACATTCCAATTTTGGTTTCATTTTGTCGTTATGTTAGTATGGTCTAGTTTACATGGTCATTTCTTCAGTGAGTGTGAATGTGTATATATTCATTATAATACTCAAATAGATATAAAAACTTATAAAGGAATTTGAAGAACTTGCCTGAGCAGGCTATGCCATGCCACTGAACAGAGAACACTGATATAAGCTTACTGTCTCCTGCCTGGAAGCTCCGACAGTATTTATACTCGGCCATTTTCTTCCGGGTAAAGTTGTCCATAACAGAATAAGCCTTCATTAGTACAAAGCTTTGCTAAGGAGAGCAAAACCTTGCCCAAGTTAAGGCCTGTTCTTTTACATGTGTGTTTAGCTTCATTCCTGTTGGCAGCATGCCCTCTAGCCGTTTTCTTTCACTTATGTCTTGTCTATTTGTTTTTTTAAATTTTACATGTTATTTGCTTCATTGACAATGCATACACTTAAAAACATTAGATCAAAGGAATATACATATACTGAAGTTCACATTACATGAAGAGACGGTGAAGGCCAGCACCATGTATAGAGTAGCAGGTATGATATGGCATTGGAGGACAAAATCAGTACTGTCAGTAGTAATTAAGGTAGGCCCAAGAGCCATTAAAATGATCAAACTATGGTAAAAGTGTTTGGAATAAAAGTAGAAGTTAAAGACCTGGTAATTATCTTGGTATGCAAAGCACAATCAGTAGCAGCAGAAGAATTCACTGAACAGACAAGGAGGATAGTTCCTTGAAAATCCTACTCAAGTCATTACATGTACTGCCCTTTGAGATTTCAACCTCATAAATGTATAATGGAAGATAACAGTATTGACCCGGAAAAAGTATTGGGAAATACTCTTCCTAACAAGCACAGACCAAGATACTTTCAACAAAAGATAACTGTACTTACTAGAAATGGAAATAGGCTCAGTTTGATCTTTACGAGCAATAAGAAATTAATCAGGCATAACAATCTTGAGTACAGTTAACTTCAATCACAGCCTCACTGAAGTGCCAGTAAGCATAAGTTCTTGTATGGATAATCTGAGAGTCATCAGAAAGGGATGTTTAGTAAATTTAATTTCAACAGTCCAAGAATTGACTGGTATGAAATATTGAACTGTCAAACATTTCCTGGGAAATCCTTCCAAACAGTTTTAGCCAAAGACAATTTATGGAAAATATGAATGTAGAAGTATGTGTCCTACTGAGAAGGCCTAGGAGACCAAACTTGAGAAAACTTTACAGAAAAAGGTTGCTTAATTGCTCCAAAAACTCAAATATCACAACAAAGGAAAGAATGTTTAAAACTGTCAATATTGAGCATAAAGTACCCTCACCATACAGAACACAAAAGGAACATGAACATGGAAGCTTTTCAGGAAACTGGGATAAATCCTAAATACTTTTTCATATAAGTCAGAAACCTTGTAACAGTATTGACCCTCTACTCAAAGGAATCTCATGCACAGATGAAAAAATGAAGATATGAGGAGAATCATGAAAGAAAAACATGAACCACTGTTCAGCAGTCCATTCGACACACGATAGCTGAAGACCCAGATAACTTCTTCATTAACTTTTCCCGCCCTACAAATTATATACAGCACAAATCCTTCAAGCTTTGAACGTGAAATTGAAATGCCTAATAAATTAGGCATCTGGGCCCGATTTATGGAATTCTGTACTTGTAAAGAAATGCGAAGTACTAATAGCACGATTACTCTGTGTTATTTGTAGGAGGCGAAACTTTCAGAGCTGTTAAAAAAGTACACACAGCTCCTCGTCACAAAGGGATGGCAAAAAAATAGAAGCCAGTAACACTGTCACATTCAACAATCATACCTGTCACAACTCTTAGATAAATATGACAAAATCTCTGAGGTTTGGTAGAAAACCCAAAAGCAGATGCGGTCTGAACAAATATTGCAAAGGCATCTGACATGTATGATAATAAAGTGATTGTTCATAAACTGACTTTTTTGGGTTATCCTAGGTTCTCAACACATATGCTATGTATGATAATATATGTAACTGTATTTGTGTATACCTGAATAAACTTACTGAGGACAGTAGGTATAACGGGAAAAGTAGAAGAATGGATATTCAAATTTCTAGCAGAAAACACAGAGTTGTAGTAAACAAAACTAAGTTCAGCTTCAGCACAGTAAAATTTTGAGAAAGCATAGGCACAGTTCTAGCACCTCTACTTTTTCTTATCATGGTAGACATATAAAAAACACAAGCCACAGCTTGGTATCATTCTTTGGGGATGAAAGTTGTTTCAGTAGAAGACAAAAAAAAACAAAACAAAAAAACACGTAGTAATGTTTTGCATTAGGCGCAGGAAAATCGTATATGCCAAGTGATGACAGTTTTTGGCTGCTTGAATATTTAGAGAAGAAGGGAGAATTCAGAATGAGCACATCATACAGAAGGCTGGCAGACCACTTCATACAATGTAGGGAACAAGTAAAATATGTAGGAATAATTAGGTCACATATGTCATTTAGAGAGCAAGTACACCAAAAGTCAGTAAAATGACAGGGTGGATTATGTGGACATTCAAGAGAAGCAATGCCAGTAATGCTATGTATTTCAAATGGTGCTCTCACACCCCTAATGTTGCTTTGTGGTCACAGGGCCTTTCAAGGCAGGGGAGATATCAGAGCTGGAAAATGTACACAAGTCATTAAAACATCTAAACTATTGGAAATGCACTAGGATAACACTGGTTTCCCAAGACTTTTCAACCTGTTAGTAGCAATCAGAAATATTGAAGGAATGAAGGTACAAGTTTTTAGGAGGAAACTGTACCATTGTATCCAGCAAATCCCCGATCAGTCAGACTGTGATGACTGTGTGGGCCTAATGGTCATTAGCACAGCTTGGTCAAACAGGCAGAAAAAAAAAGCTAGGCCTGAGGCCAGGCTATATGTGTGCCTAATAAGCCAAACTTACCAATTAGGCCCAAACTCCCTTAAAAATTGTAATTTTCCAAAAACAAAAAATACAGATTAATAGGTACAGTATATATTTTTTCATTGGCAATTATGTATTTTTTTTTTTTTTTTTTTTTGTTTTTTTTTTTTTTTGACCAAACCTAACTTAAGAAACCTCACCTAACTGACTCTATATATATATATATATATATAATATATATATATATATATATTTTATATATATATATATAATATATATATATAAAATATATAATATATATAAATATATATAATATATATAATATGTGTGTATGTATGTATGTAGTATGTATGTATGTATATGTAAAGAGGTTTTTGTAGCATTTTTGAATTTGGAAAAGGTATATGACAGGGTAGATAGGGTGGGCAATTTGGCAGATGTTGCAGGTGTATGGTATAGGAGGTAGGTTACTGAAAGCAGTGAAGAGTTTTTACAAGGATAGTGAAGCTCAGGTTAGAGTAATGTAGAACAGAGGGAGATTATTTCCCAGTAAAAGTAGGCCTTAGACAAGGATGTGTGATGTCGCCGTGGTTGTTCAATATATTTATAGATGGGGTTGTAAGAGAAGTGAATGCAAGGGTCTTGGCAAGAGGTGTGGAGTTAAAAGATAAAGAATCAAACACAAAGTGGGAGTTGTCACAGTTGCTCTTTGCTGATGACAGTGTGCTTTTAGGAGATTCTGAAGAGAAGTTGCAGAGGTTGGTGGATGAATTTGGTAGGGTATGTAAGAGAAGAAAATTAAAAAATGAATATAGGGAAAAAGTAAGGTTATGAGGATAACAAAAAGATTAGGGGTG